CCCCAAAACCCCAAAACCCCAAAACCCCTGATATCTTATAGGAAAAGAGACTTTGAAACGAAATCTTAAGAAATTATGTAAATATTTATGGTGGTAACGATATTGATTATTCTTAAAACAACTCATTTCTATCAAGTATAGTATCTATTGATATCTACCAAGGAGGATTTCACTCTAGGTTCTCCTCACTGTCCATCTCCCCAGATGACGAACTTCACATCAGCTCTGTCAAACCTTATTCTATCAGTGGGGCACTGCCTCTATCTGCTGTTTAAGTTCTTCTAGATGCAGTCATTGCAGTACATGTGCATGCACGGAAGTATCACCTCCTTCTCCTTTACACCACAGATTGGACATTTCATTCGGCTGTCGTACTTCATACTCTTGAGCTAGAAATACTCCAACTCACTCATAGATCCCGCATTTGAGCCATTTAATGTGGACTTGCTCTTCTTTATTTATTCTATCTCAGCCTCTAAATTGTCTATCTGAGATTTTTCTCCAACCAGTTTCTGACTCTGATTGTTTACCACATTTTGCAGAGAATTCAATCGATCGTAGGTATCTTTCTCTTTTCTTAGAGCCTCTTGTGATTCCTACTTCAAATCATCATATGCTTCTTGCAAGGATTATTGATGTGTCTCAAGGTCTTTAACAAGTGAGTTCAGCTTTTCAAGGCTTTCCTCATTAACTTTTGAGAGATCTCTAAAGTCGTTTAGTTGCTATTCAAGCTGCAGACATTTCCTCTCTAGTTTATCTTTATCGTTCAATGCCATCTCTAATGAGTTTCTGTTTGTCATCTCTGAGCTCGATAGAGTAACTACCTTCTCCTAGGATATCTTTAACTCAGAAGTTATCTTAGTAAGAGTATTCTGGGACTCCTCGAGTTGATCATAGACAGACTATATGTCTTGATATAGACTATCAAGTGTAGCCTGCTTCTACTTCACATCATTCTCCAGATCGGTAATCTTTTTCTGTGAGATTTTCATTTGATCTTCAAGTTTCTATAGTAATAATGAGCATCAAGAATAGCATAAAGGAAGAATAATGGAGTGTTTCTGACATTTTATGACTTAAAGTAATGAATAGAGAAAGCCTTGATAATGACGGAATCAATATTGCTTGGTATTTGTCTCCTATAGGGATTCTTTACCCTATCGGAAAAGACTACCAGCGGATTAATTTAGCTGTTTTAGAATTTAACTTACCCTGTTTTTATGCTTGAGACTTTCATACTTCTCCTTTATCTCTGATTCAACTATAGGTGGCTAGCCTGCTGGATTTCTAAGCTTTTCAATATCTCCCTAGGCTTTCTAATAGTTAGATTTAGTATCAGAGTAAGCTCTCTTATAGTCATCATTCTTTTTCTGTAGTTCAGCTAATCTTTTTTCTGATTGATCTGCTCTGGCAACTGCTTCTTAAAGTAATCTCTTCAGATTGTTGATGGTATCATCATGAAGAGTATTTAATGCAGCTTGAACTTTAATTTAGCTAAGTTCGTTTTCAAGTTTGATCTTCTCATCGCTCACAGAGATATTCGCTTGACTAGTTTTGTAATACTTTTAATCAAGATTGTTAGCTCTTTCCCTTAGTCCTGCAACTTCTTCTGTAAGTTTCTATACCTCAAACTTCTAAGCTTGCTCAGCTTGTTCCTTTTAGCTTTTAAGTATCTTATTCTGGTGTTTCAACTGGTTTAGGCTAAGACCCATTTGATGATTTTTGGTAATCTCCTATGCTAGATTTTAGGTCTAGGCAGCAAGCATCTTGTAGATTTATGACTACTAAAATTTATCTTCAGTCAGCTCATTTTGTTGTTTGAGTTGTTCTATTCTCTTGCAGTACTCTTAATTCAAGATATTCATAGACTGGACTTAGATTTAGAGCTCTTGGATTTTTGCATCTTTTTCAGGATTTGAATTCGATGAGGCATCTTACTTTTCTTCAGACCGACCTCCTTCCTAATTTGGAAGAATATTAGGCTGGTTTTCATTTTTCTACTCTAAGATTAATTACTTTTGGATGTTTGATTTACCTTCAATGATTGGATTGGAAGATTGCTCAGTTGAATTCAGATTAGCTATTGCATTCATATTTAGCTCTTTGGAACAAAGCATACAGATACAAGTATGATTTTTATCATAGAATTTATGCATGTCGTTTGGGAAAAACGAAGCTATTATTTGGTAATAGGGAGACCCTCTAGCTAATCTCAGATTAAGTTTTTGGTTAAGCTCCTTTTAAACATTGAGATCTCTTTGTATTCCACTTAATTTTTAGGTAAGTGTAACATTTAGAGTCTCAATATCCTTCATTTGCTTCTCAAGTCTGATTGAATTTGAAGTTTTGAAGTTGATTTTTTACTTCAACTCATCATTAACTCCTTTAAGCAAACTTATTTCTTTGAGCAAGTCTTCATTTTACAAACTTTGAAGCTGCTAGACGCCAAACTCTAAATTACCTTAAAACTAGTATGAATTAATTGGTGATATATTGATACCTTTGGTTGAGAGTCGAAGGTCATTAGACTTGAGTGCTTGAATATATCTTTACATAGTCGAGACGAATGCCTTGCTCAATTATTGAGAGGCATCTCTCAACTTTTATTCCTCCTCTGAGTCTTTAAGCTCTTCATCCGCAGATCTCATCTAGACATCTGCAGTATGTTTAGAACTTTAAGCTTCCTCTTAAGAGTCAGCCTATGGGGGGACATTGAATTAATTTTCCTCATAAATTAAGTTTATTAGATTTTTGTATAAGGATGACTGCTTATCAACTAGGTATTACTGCAATTTCAAAGGGTCCTCGAATTCCCTCAATTCGAACTGCTGCATCAGCAGATTGCCTAGTTCCATGTCTGCCTAATACCCACAATTAGTTATAAAGCTTATATATAAATTATTAACGCTTACCCTTTGAAGTGCGAGTGTGAAATTGGCAAAAGATTTGTTCCACTTGTCAGTCTCCCTCTCCTTTTAATAAATTATTTTCTTGAGTTGAGCAATTTCTTGCTTATAGTTCAAGTTAAGACTCGCAAGAGCCTTATTTTGATACTAAAGCACGCTATCATTCTATACATTGTAAATAAAACAAAAATAATAGTTACTTGCATCAATGAGGCCTCATCAGGTGAATTTTGCTAGTGCCCATTACCGCCCTTTTTCTTTCTGAGAGTATCACTCATCCTTAAATTTATTATTATAATAGATTATATATTAACCTCTCAATAGAGAAATCTTTGTTAATAAATGATTGATTTTGCAGCTGGGGTTGAAGAACCTATAGATCTTATAACTCTTTCGCTTAAAGAGCGAGTCTACGTTAAATGTAGACATGGAAGGGAACTCAAAGGCATGTTAGTGGTAAGTTTTAACAATGATTGCTCAAATTTCTAAAAATTAGTATAGGCTTACGATGAACATTTGAATCTAATGCTGAGCGATGTGGAGGAGAGAATTACTACGGTCGAAATCGATCCACTTACAAAGCAAGAAACTCCAAGAGTAAGAAATTTCCCAATCAAAATTTTAGGTAAAAGTGAAAGGGCACTCTCTGATATATTTGAGAGGAGATTTAGTAATTATGGTTTCACCGACGCCTTAACAATGAATGAAATTTAGAAGATTGGATTATACATGAATTAATTATTATCATAATTATCATTTAAAAAAATTAATAAAACTTAAGAGATCATGGGATTGAAGTCGCTACAGCTATTACTTAATATAATATCTCGGGTAGGTAGATTTTTTACCTATTTTATCATAAATTATTGTCTAGAATGGGAGTAAGTTGTCAAATCGCCAATAAAGCGAGTAAAATAAGTAATCAGAGAAAAACAATGACTTAAAAAAGTCTTTTGATTGCATAAAAAAGAAAGGGATTAAGTTCAAAACTCCAAATGCTTTCTTAATGTTTCAGATTTTCTTTTCATAAGTTCTTGCAAAATAAGTTTCTGCTGCTGGAACTCAAAATAACAGTATGATAATTGAAAATTTGAATCCTTATAAAGGTCAGGTTAAATGTAGTAATGAAAATTGATATGGTGTAGAAATTATAGCAGTATTGATAGTTTTGATAATTTTGCTGTTTTGTTCGTTTTCCTTGTTACTTTATTTCTACTTTATGTTAAGGAGGAAATTCAAGACAAGTATATCTTTTATGCAAAATCAATCAATGATTTCAAACATCCTCAATAATACAATAATAGACAAAGAAGGTAAGTTTTCTTTTAGGTTTTATCATAGTTTAGAATGACACACAAAGAGACCACTAATGAACAACTTTATGAAAGATCTTTCTATATAGTCTCCATCAAGTCATCATAAATCTCACAAAAGCTTGATCTAGATTCTTAATGGAAATCATAACCAAGAATCTACAGCATATGAGACTGAAAGAAATTTAATACTAAACTAGCAAAAGGATAAGACTGATAATGGTAGCAAACTGATTAACAACTTTGAGGGATAAATTGATCTGGATAAATTTAATTTTCAAGTCATGTTTCAAGTTATGTTTGCCATAAATATTCTTGCTCAAATAAAATAAAACATTACTTTTGGACTTGAAGAGTAAGATGTAAATACTTATGAAAAAATTTGCTCAAGTTATTAAAGAAAAGTGCTAGGGATGAATTTCGATCAAATCAAGCAACTATTTTTCTAAATTATTGATCACGGTGAGCTTTAATGCCAATAATTGTCTCCTGAAACCCTAAGATTGATTGAAGATGCCATTAAAAAAATAAATATCATAACTGGCTAATTAAGTGAAGAAGAGCTAGAATAATAAAATGTATCTTAAAACCTATTTGATGATGAACTTGGTCTTCTTGGAATATCTCTAATAACTAATGAGAATGGAAATTCAAAGATAATTGTAGAGGAATGTGAGGAGATTATTGGAAGTAATGAGAGTATAGATGAAGATTTTAGAGATGAAGATGAAATGAGAGATGAGTATGATGACAATCAAATCATTATGAAGTCTGTTAATAAGGGTAGAAGGACAGGATATAGAATGGCCAAAAATAATACCTCTCAAAATGTTAATGTAGTTGGGCGTAATCATGGATAAGAAAGGAAAAGTCTCTCCCAACACAAGACTCAGACTCTACCAGACCTTGTTAACTATGCGATTGAGAAAAAATCTAATGATATCCCTCAAAACTTTATTGAAAATAATTTGAATCTGTCAAAGTAATCTGTCCAGTTAATGGGTGGTAGAAGAAGGCTTACAAAGATAATTGCTTAGAATATTTTGGATAAAATTGGAAAGCTTAAGCTGAAAATGAATTCAAATTCTGAGGGATATCAGAGTGAAAACGCCAGTACTTTTAAGAAATCTCTGACAAGGGGCTCTAATAATGCTTCTCATTTTTAGAAAGAACTTATGTTAAATCCAGATCATTCAAAGAAATATACCAGATCGCCTATAATTAGAAATAAAGAAAGTGAAATACTTATTTTGCCTGGGAAAAAACTATCACAAAATAACAATAGCGTAACAGAAGATAAGTTGGGTTCAATATATTCCTCTGATAAATATCTTGATAAGCGTCCAGTAAAGTTCTAAGCAGCTAATAGTCTTAACACTAATAAATAGCCTTAAATGACGCATATCACACATAAAAGTAGCGTGTCAAATTTCTCATATATTTAAGACTTGGATGATTACACGAGATCTAATAAGAGCAATCGAAACCATCATCAACCACAATAATAGAAATTGCAGCATTCTACTTTTTAGTAGAAGGCAAATCAATTTAAAAATGTGATGAGCTTTACAAAGATGGTTATGGACTAAAGAAATGACAATTAATAATAAAAATCAAGTAATCCTGAGACACGTGCACCAGGTACCTAGCAGAGTAGCGTAGATCTTAGAAAATCAAATTAGAAAATGAGGCCAAGCCAGCATCACAGTCAAGTCTTTATTAATAATGCATATTTAAGATTAAACCCTGCAACTAACATGATCTAAAGTAAGGCCCCTACTAGGAATGGCTACGGTACAAATACAAATCTAACATATAAATAACTTTAAGCAGGATCCAAATCATAATATAGAGTTACAGACCCTTCCGGTTCTCCTCACAGAAATAATAGCCATATCCTTACAAAAGAAGAAGGATTTGTTCATATGAGATAAAAAGTTCAGTAGAAGCGGAGAGAAGAAGAATTATTTTAGGATATTAACCAATTTCAGTACAAAATCAACTACAATCCTACCTTTCATTGAATAAATATTAATACTGACTTAATACAAGATGTACTCTTGTTATCAAATGATATATATAGCAAATAATATTCATTAGTTGTTAATATAAGTTCAGTATTTATTAATTGCTTAATTTGAAATCTTAATTGCTATCAATTATATATACATGGGGTTTTGGGGTTTTGGGGTTTTGGGGTTTTGGGG